CCGCTTTAATTTTATTGTTTGAAGGTTGAGAATGGGTGGAAGCTAAGGAAAGAAAAGAATCAGCTTCGCTAATATTACCAGACGACATTTTTTGATTGTACTCGACGTATGATTGTAAATTTAAAATTTGTTACACTTGGCGTAGTTTATCATTTATATAGTTTAAAAAATGCGTAAATATAACACGTAAAAACATATTTATCAATAAAAGGTTAAGGGCGATCGATCGATAAGACGATAATACCATCTTTTATAAGACTGTTAAAAAGATCCTGATCCTATGATCAATCCTGTCGATCCGTTCAAAAAAGATTGGTATAAGACCGGTCCTATGACCGGACCAATGGTCTTTCAGTCTAGATCAAATCGTTTCCATCCCTAGTGATGAAGATAGAACAATGGAAGAAGTGATGTTAGAGGATCACATAGAAATTTGTCACCAGAAAATATGATGGCTGCAACACCAACATATGGGCCTGAAAAAAGAAGAAATAATTTAGAAATAGTTGAATATACAGAAATTATGAAGATATTAGATCCTAACCTGCAAGATACAATAAAAGACATGGTAAATGGATTTCATTTGCAGTAGAAATTGGAAGGATTGCAACATGCTTCGCATAGTATATACCAGCTTGGATATAAGGACAGGAGTTTCCTACCTCAATTCTGATTTTACTTCCATTGTACTTGTCATATATATTCCCTTCTTTTCAAAGGAAGAGCCATCTGTTGTTATCTTTGCATTTATATATTGATTAAGACTAACCTCATAATGCTTTCGAAATAGTATCTTGAATGCATCTCTTCTTTCATCTTTATTAGTAAATACATTTGACATAGACTCAGTTACATCCAATACAAAGGCATAGTTAATATCATTTGGTGTTATGGTTTCACAGTCCTCAAGAAAGGTTCTGAAGATAAGATGTTGAAGGGTGATAGGATTCCCAGAGGTATTGGCTAGACGATGATTCAAATAAATAGAGCCACTGTTTTGTTCCTTTAATCATTCTCTTGGTTTTGAAAGTCCACTTGGAAAGTCTGAACCTTTTACTCTCTTGAAAATTACTTTTGTATTAAACTTTATATCTTCATCAGTCTTGCGTTTGATCCCACTCTTTGTAATAACTATTGTAAGATAAACAGATAAATGAGCAGAAAATAATTTTTTTTTTTTTACGCAATTTGTTCATTACTTTCTTCCTTTCTAAAGTCGACTAATTTATTTTGTAAATTAATCACTTGGTTCTCCCACTTCACCTTATCCTTTTTCAATCCTTCCTTCTCCTTCTTTAACTCATTTATCTTATCTTCCCATCTCTTTTCCTGCTTTTCATTCCTGTATTCTTCATTGAACAACTTTTCTTCCAAATCCTTCAACCTCTTCTCTTTCTCCTCTAACTTCTCCTTGGCTTCTTTGAACTACTTCTTTGCATCTTCTAATTGTTTTTCAATTATTTCGATCATAGCCATTTTGTAAATTAAAAAAATTTTATTTGTTACAATTAATTATTTTTATAAATAATTTAGACCAATAATAAATTAATGGGCATATGACTTGTAATTAAAAATTTTTTTAATAGAACAATGAATTAAACGACAAAAGAATTATTTTTATTTTAATAATAAAAAAATACATAAAAATATAAAGTTAAAGAATTATCAGAGCACTTGCATGGGAGGAAAATACTCAGACCCAAAGCCAATTGTGAGTATTACCTATTCTTTGGACACTCTGACAAAATCTAACTTTCACTATTACTACTGCTATTATTGTCAATAATAATATTATTACTTTATTTATATTTTCGTTATTTTGTTATCTTTATCAACTTCACTCTCTATCTCTTTCTTCTTTTCTTTTTTGACCCACTCCTGAAGTGCGTCTACTGTTTTTTTCCTAGAGTTTGTTTTTCATTGGTAAAAGTTTTCTATTGTGGAAGCAGCAACACCTTTTCCCTCTCCAAGTAATTTGCGAATTTCAATAGCCATTTTGCTGAATGAAGAATTTGGATTAAGTTCAACATTTTTGTCAAATAATTACTTGAAATCCTTCCATAGATTTTTGATTTCTTGTGAATATTTTTTATTGCCAGTAAGATTGTTTATTTTATTTTTAAATTGGCTTTTTTTTGGTTCTATTTTATTAATTATTTGATCGATTTTTTGATTTATAACAGAGGATTGATTTTTGTAAGTTTTATAGTGAAATTAGAACTATTAGTTAGTATTTTTTTATTTTGTTTCTGATTAGCAGGTCAATTTAAGTCTAATCTATAAGTATCTTGGATTTTACCAGTAGTTCAGATATCTTTAAGAACTTTTTCAATTTTTTCTCTTTTTTGCTTTCATTAATTACTATCATCAAAGTTAGTTTTTTTTCTATCATTAAATGTTTTAATTGTTATTCCTAAGTTTCAACCAGTTGAGTAATCAAATATAGCAAGTTTTTCAGAATAGTAAACTTTAGTAGGTTCTCAGTATCCTATTGGATTATCAAGGTAACTTTTAGCATTTTTACGTTTAAAATAAAATGTATTATCAAAATCTAAAATTAAATAAAATATTTGAGTATCTTCTACATATTTTTTTCATTTATATGAAAAGGAAAAATATCTTTGTTAAAGTTTTTAGTTGTAGCTTTTCATTTACGAAATTCAATAAATTCAGAAAAAAATTCATTTAGTGTATTACTATGAATAATATCATCATTTTTCCCAGCATCAGGAATTATTTTATAGTATATAGTCATAATATTTATTTTTAATTTTGTCAACAGAATATGTATAAAAAATAATCCAGCTTTTAAACTTAAAAAGATAGGAAGTCTCAAAAAGGAGAGAACAAGAGAATAAAAATATTTGGCTTAAAGATATGACTCAGCTTGTGTTTGAGCTCTTTTTTTGCTAAGTGTTTTAACTTCAATTTGAAGGTTATCCCATATAGCAAGATCAACAAGATTGTCTTCAAAAGTAGTATATCCATTATCAAGAGCAATTTGCCAACCACTATTAACTTTTTTGGGAGGTTCCTCTTTATCATCTCTCTTAGAACCAGTTATTTTCCATTCACAATTAGCAAAACCACAAGTAATAGGTTTGAGATGTTTGTTATAGAGAGGATATTTACATTTATGGGAATTATCATGATAACTAAAAAGACCAGAATTTTTAAAGCCCCATTGATGAATGACTAGTTTTTTGTAAGCATTACAAGAGGGATTTTTGCATTTCCCTAAGAATAAAAACATTTGTTATATTGAGAAAAAGCATTAATAAAAAATAAGTATTTGATTTAAGTCCTTAATTACTTACCTTCAAGATTCAAACCATTACAAGCTTCCCTCCAATCAGGAGCAGTAAAAAACCATTTTCTTTTAGTTGGCTTTTCTATTGCTGAAAATTTTGACTAATGAACCCACCAATTGAATAGCAATACTCGCCACCAGCATAAGAGACAATTTCAATATTTGTTTCTTCTTTAAGAGAAGTTGTTTGTTGATAAGATAATGTTTTTTGTTGAATGGTAGTCATTTTTTTTAGGAAAAGAAACAAAAGTTAAAATCAGAATTGATATTTACTATATTTATGTTTTTTATTTATGAAAATAAAGATTATTTTATTTTTGCAAATAAACAGACAATTTATATAACAAAATCTTCTATTTTTTATAGTAAAGTATATTCACATGTAAACAAACAAATAAAAGAACTCCTTATCAATTCAATATCATAGAAAAAACTTTGTTTTTTTCATAAATAAAAAACATACTAATTCTTGTTTTTGAACTTTATAATTATAAGGTTCATAGATAATTTATTTATGAATTTCTAAGACAATAAATGAATTGATTTATTTAGTTAGATAATTAGCCACTAGTATATTACACTAAATTTTGAACCCTGTAATTCTTGGTAATACTAATATTTACTTTGTCTAGTTTTGTTGCAGCATGCCCCATTTAATCATTCTAATTGAACGATTTTTTATCATTCGTTTAGAATAATAACTTCAATCATTCCAAATGAACGATTCTTTTATCGTTCATTTAGAACGATAATTGTATTGTTTTAATTGAACAATTCTTTTATCGTTCGTTTAGAATGATAATTTTATCATTTCAATTGAACGATTCTTTTATCGTTCGTTTGGAACAATAATTTCATCATTCTAATCAAACAATTTTCTTATCATTCGTTTAGAACAATAATTTCATCATTCCAATCGAACGATTTTCTTATCATTCGTTTGGAATGATAACTTCAATCGTTCAAAATGAATGATTCTTTTATTATTCTTTTGGAATGATAATTTAATTGTTTCAATCGAATGATTCTTTTATTATTCTTTTGGAATGATAATTTAATCGTTCTAATCAAACGATTCTTTTATCGTTCATTTGGAACGATAACTTCAATTGTTCCAAATGAACGATTCTTTTATTGTTCTTTTGGAATGATAATTTAATCGTTTCAATTGAATGGTTTTCTTATTGTTTGTTTGAAATGATAACTTCAATCGTTCTAAAAGAACGATAAATTTAATCATTCCAAACAATCTAAAATTTTGGATTAATTTGAAATTTTCAGTTCAATTTGGATTTTTTTCAATTTGGATTAGATTTATAATCTGAAAAAAATCCAAACTGAACTGAAAATTTTTAGATTAAATTTTTTGCAATCTGAAACTGAATCAAAGTTGATCTGAACTGAAAATTTTCAGATTAATCTGAATTGTTCAGAGCTTTACATAAAATTCTTGATGTAAATATTTAGATTAAGTAAAATTAGCTTATTTACAGCTTCTTTGCTAATTTTTTAACACCTTCTTAAATTAAGATATTTTAAATTAAAATATAAATATTGCATTTTTGCAAAAATTTGACATCTCCGACGTTCAGACGTTCAAAATATTGCAAAATTGCAAAAATTTGCGTCTCCGACGTTCGAACGTTCAAAATATTGCATTTTTGCAAAAATTTGACGTCTCCGACGTTCGGACGTTCAAAATATTGCAAAATTGCAAAAATTAGTTAAATTAATTACTAAGTGTTGCAACAAATTAATGAATATCATCAATTGTTGCAACATAGTTGCAACATATATTATAACATTATATGTTGCAACATATTAATTATGGTTACCATCTTTAATTGAGATATTGCAAATTCAGGTATAATTCTGCTATTAATTTTAGAACTTTACCAATACACTCCATACTTTTTTTAAAATCTAAATAAATTATATTTGTGAATATATACATAATATTTTTAATACTTTATTTGAAAGTGAATTGAAGCATAATATTTTAAGATAAATTAATTTTAAGTTATGTATTAGTCTTTGTTCCTTACATACTATTTTCATAAATTTTTTTAAATATTTGTAATCCTCTGCTACTTCTCTTATTAATTTGATATATTTTCATAGAATAGGACTATCACATTTTACTAAAATTAGTATATAAATAGAATGGGATACAGTGGGTTACTTATCGTCAAGAAATATAAAATTTATTTTAATAGTTCTAATATAATAAAAATTCTTAAATGTACTATAAATATTCTGTATTATACTTTTTATTTCAAAAAAAAATCTTTTGAACTAATGATCTCTACTTTGAACTAGTTAGCTCAAATAATATAATTAAATATTTATCATTAAAATACAGCTGTTTCTTTAAAAGTCAGCTAATATTAAATCATTTTCTGCTATTTAAGCTTCAAATGAGTTATAATCTTTGTTTTTAGGCTGAGACTATAGATGCCTGCCGAAACCTCCTCAAAATAATTTCGTCATACCCTTTTCTATATTTTTAATATAGTTTCGACTGTTTCGGCTTTCGTCGTATTGAATGGGTTTCGTCGTATTCCTTATTATGATTTTAATATAATTTCGTCTAAGTTTCGACTGTTATTAAGGGGTTTCGTCCCTCATCTATAGCTGAGACGATAAAGTCTGAGACCCAGATACTAGGTTAGATACTTAGTCAGATTTAGGATCAGAGTCTTCTAATTTTATATTACCTATAGCATAATTGTCATCAACATCAAGACGATTTAATTCTTACCTCATTGTAATTTTCAAAAGAAGTTTAAGATGTTTGGAAGTTGATTTCTTATTATTATAAATTCTAAATGTGTGTTTAGCTCCATATTCTTTTAATTTTTTAGATATAATTCTATAAGGTTTTTGCTTTAAGAATTTATTAAATGGTCAAGTATTACATATTTCACTTTTAATATAGATAAGATCATACAACTTTTCTATCTTGATTGCATTTCTGATCTAGATGAGTAATTCTCTAATGTATTCTAGATTCTTCTTCATAGAAAGAAATGATCAAGGCTCAGGATTCTTCTTTTTTTCTCTTTACTCTTTAAATAATCTGTATAGTACTAAGAATAATCTTCTTTATAATATGCTAAAATGTTTGAAGGATCTGGTTTATAGTAATTAATTTGAAGAGATCTTACTTCAGCAGGTCTCATACTTAACATCACTATTACATCTGCAAGATCTTCTTTAGTAGAAATTTTAGAAGTATCAATATTTTAAAGCCTTTTATTCATATTTACTAAGAAGAAATGTAAGTGAATTCTATTTAGATTAACCATTTATTTCTTAGTTCATTTTTTTCTGAATTTATTAGACTCTTAAATAAGATTAAATCTTTAGCAAAGGTATTAATAATTGCAAAATCTACTTCACTTTCTATTAATTTTATATAGAATTGCAACTAACGTAAGATATTGGTAATGATTTCATTTTATCATTTTATCATTACTCTTTAAATCTAATTTCTAATGATTAGTGACTGATATTTATAAAATTACTAGTCTTAATACAATATTTACTCTTTCCTTTATGATGAGGTTTTTCTTTCTCTTATCTGGTAAAAGAATCTTTATTTTCTCTTTACTAAATAGGTGTCTGTTATCAGTATCTTTAATAAGGATAATTTTAATACACCTGTAGATTATCTATTTAGGAAGTAAAGTATCAAATTTGAAAGCATGTTCAATTAATTATTTTAAAGTGGAATCAGCTAATAAATTATACTTTTCTAGAAACTGTTCTAAAATGTTAATATAATTATTAGTTTTAGGTTTTTGAGTCTTTAGAGCTATTATTTTAATAGACATGTCAATGAGAAATAGCTTAGTATATTTTTTTAGTATATATACACTAAGAAAATTAAATCTTTAAAATAAAAAATAATTTCTATTTCTTTAGAAAACGTGTCATATTTTTGAATATTTATCAGATCTATTTATAAATAAAAAATGAAGAAAAGTTTGATGTATATTAATCTTAAAAACTTTTTTAGAAAGAAGTACTATGTCTTTTAATTTTTTTTGGTAAATATATATTTGATTCAGAGAACTCTATAGAGATCCCTTCTAATTTATCATCTTAGTTTTACTAATATATCAAAAAAAATAGATTTATTTGCGAAAAATAATACTTATATAAGGCTGGATATATCAAACCTTATAAGTCTCTATTAAAAAAAAGGTATGTATTCTGTAATAAGTTGACCTATTTTAAGACTGACTTTTGTATAAATCATGTTAAACTTATTTACAAAAAAACTGATTAGAGAAATATAAAGAGAGTGAGTAGGATTCATAACTTTGAAGGAATTTTGAATATCTGCAATAAAAGTGAAAGCAAAGTTTAAGATTATTAATATTAAAATTATCTTGTATAAGTCATATATCTTGCCAATATATTAAGAAAGATAATTCAATTTATGAGAAAGAGTACTGGTATAAATTAGGATATTCTAGACATTATAAAGCATATCCTAAAACACATTGTCCTATTTGTAATGAGCTAATCTATTTGGATATTAGAATCTATAACATATATAGTAGAATTTATGACTATATTTAACACAAAAGTAAAAAAACTAAAATAAAATTTATCCCTTTGAGATTATTTAATGTGGTCAAAGATACTTAGCTAAATAATGAATATTCAGGATTGAAGTATTATTTTTTTTATCTATAAAATCAAATAATTCTTAAATCTCATTATCTGTTTTTGATCTATATGATGAAAGTTCTGATGTACCTTTATCTTTAAAATCAATACTATTATATGATTAGTGATTAATTCAATATAAGTATCACTAAACTTATTTCTTTTGCATGAGATTTAAAGCTAAGAACAATAAGAATTAATTTTAGAATTTATAAATTTTTTACACAATTGAGCAAATACTTCTAAAATAATATTATCCAAAAGAGTATGTATATCATCAATACTAGTAAAGCCTAGTATTTGAAAAAGTTCTTATATTGCCTTCTACTATTTAAACAAATATACTTTTTATAAATCAATTGAAAATAAATCTGAAGAATTATGCAATTCCTCTCACTGTATAGTTTCTTTAGTTTTTAATTTTTCTAAAGCCAGTGTTAGCATTGGATCTTATTTAATTTCCAATAATAAACTATTGGACTTTAGTCTTAATGGAGATGTCTAGTCTAATTCCAATTCAAATGGATTATGAATATATAATTTTGG